ACTCTGATCCATTGACCGTGTTCTTTTACTCTCCTCCAATCCCTGTTTCATTTTTTCATTTATTCAAAAAAATACTTACTGGACACCTGTTATGTGCCACTTCTTGTGTGATGTAATGCTGGCTTACACCCCCTGGCGATTTTGGTGGCTTGAGCCATAGTTGTGATGAGGTTGTGGGTATTGAGAAGTGGAGAAATTCTGGACACATACTAACTTTTGGAAATACATAGATCATGTCCTTCCTCTGCTCATAACGGCTCCCCATTTAATGCCTGTAAAAGTCGGGGACTGTGGCTTAACGAGTCTCTATGAATTTAATACTTACAGTTTACTCTGATTTCTCCCACTAATTTCTCATTTAATTTTAGCAGCTAGCCTCCTGATACTCTTTGAAAATGCCTGGGGCCATGTCACTGCTTCAGGGCCTTAACATAGTCAGTCTGCTGTCTGAAGAACCTGCTCCAGGTATCCGCACACATGGCCACCTCTCTCATCTCTTCTGGGTCTTTGTGCTACTCTAGTATTTTTGCAATGTAGTCTGCCCTAGCGCCTATCTATCTATCTATCTATCTGTCTATCTATCTATTTATTTTTAAAATTTTACTATGTTAATCACCATACAGTACATCATTAGTTTTTGATGTAGTGTTCCATGATTCATTGTTTGTGTATAACACCCAGTGCTCGATGAAGTACGTGCCCTCCCTAATACCCATCACCTAGCTCCTATTTAAAGTGGAAGCATGTTCCCAACCTGTCATTTTTGGTCTCCCCTCTCCTGCTCTGTTACTCTCCCAATTTTAACACTTACCAGCATTTCACATCCTAACTAACAGACTTACTTGTATGTCTGTCAATTGTGTATTATCCTCCATTTGAACGTCAACACCATGAAGGCAGGGGTTTTTGTCTTCTTTACTGATATGTCATAAGTGTTTAGAATAGCACCTAACACATGGTAAACGATCCATAAATATTGCCAGAACTAACACATATGAAATAAGTTACTTTTTTCAAAAGCCACAGACTATTTGAACCTTTGTTAAGTAGGGAAGTACTCCTGTAGGAATGAGATGATGTTAACTCAGCCTAACAAATAGCTTCTTGCCTCTCCGGTTATTTATTCAGTTTTTCCTGAGTTTTTATATGCTTAGGGGAAGCTCAGTAAATACTTGTTGTCTGTTCTGTTGCGAACACTGCAGCTAGCATCTGGGATACATGGGCCTCTTCTAGAAGGAGAGATACTCAAGTATATCAACAGTTATAACAAAGTGCGACTGGGTATATTGTAAAGAATACTTATGTTACTTAAATTGGGAATTTTGTCTGATGCAGACACAGACATCTGAAATTAAAGGCCTTGTTATACATACAGGTCCTAGAAAGGAAGGCATGGTGTGCCATGCTGGGGGCTGCATGGGAGGAGTGCCCAGCAAGCAGGCTCAAACAGGTCGGGAGCTGGGAGATAGAGCGAGGCCCCATGGGAAGTGCTTTATTGGGAGTCAAGGTGGGTAGACAAGCAAAGGCTTGAGAGGATTTCATTGGTCTGTTGGAATGTCACTAGGTCACAGTCTGGAGGGCAAGAAGGGGAAACTTGTGGCAGGGACCAGCCTTATCACCCTGTGCACCTGTTCACCTGGGCCAGGGGCTCACGGACTGTCTGAAGATGTTGAAGCCTCAGGAAATACAAAGTTTTAAAAACTTACCACACACTGGGTGAAATTAGAAATAAATGCAAAAGGCTTTGGATCCACACAGAAGAGTCACCCTGGGCAGTCTGCAAATGGTCTGTTTCAGATTGAACACTGTCCTAGTGGCATTGTAGTCCTAAAGACATAACTGTAGCCTTGCAAAACCCATGTAAATGTGTAGGGGTGGTATCACTGTCTCGGCTCTCTCTGTGAACACCTGACGCCCTACTTACAGCCAGAGCCAGAGAACTGCAGAAACCTCTCAGGCTGACCCTCCCCTGCCCTGCCTGCAGCCCCCATTGATCCTCTAATGTTTTTAATCAGTCTTGCTAAATACTTCCTGTAGGGAGAATGAGTAGTGATGAGAAGTAATCTTGCGGCTTCTTTATTCTGAAAAATTCAGTCACTGATCTACAGATACCGCTTATTCATCATGATGCCCCAGTGCAGAAGAGGGGGTTAAATTTCAGCCTTAAAGGTTATGGGATCCCTCAAGGCTTAGAGTATAGTAATGAAAAATTGAGAACCTAAAAAGGGGTTCCGGAATCTGCATAGTGAATAAACTCTCACCAGCCTTGCTTCTGATGTGACTTTAGGATTATGTGCGTAAGAAGGTGCCATGTGGGGTGCCTGGGTGGCTCAGTTGGTTAAGCGACTGCCTTCAGCTCAGGTCATGATCCTGGAGTCCTGGGATCGAGTCCCGCATCGGGCTCCCTGCTCGGCAGGGAGTCTGCTTCTCCCTCTGACCCTCCTCCCTCTCATGCTCTCTGTCTCTCATTCTCTCTGTCTCAAATAAATAAATAAAATCTTTAAAAAAAAAAAAAAAAAAGGTGCCATGTGCTTTTTACTGGAGCCTTAGCAGTTTCGCTAGATTTCATATATAACTTCTTTGAATGTCTTTTTCTTCAGTTTAGAGCAGATTCTCTCTAGTCTTTCCGAGGTGGTATATAATTTCTGGGCCGATTCCCCACTGGTCTGGAGTGGCTTTACTAATAAATCCTAGCCATTTCCCTGACCTGATACCCCAAACAGAAGCAGTCTCCTCGGCAGGTCTAAGCCTAACTGCTTACAAGTTACCCTCTTCCTCAGAGGGTTAACAGATGTCCTTGTCTTTGCCTATGTATTCAGAGTAATACATGCTTCCCAGGGTGCGTGCTCTTCCTGGACCCCAAATCTAATGCTTTGGGTCCTTGAAAGATCTCCAAAACTAGTATCCTAAGACAGGCACACCACACAGGTTTGGCATGAAACATCTTATCCAAAGTAAAAATTCCTGTTCTCCCTACTTCTGATGAAGTCAGAAACAGAAAACTCATTTCAAATATCTTGGTTCTTCTGTGTAATTTACCTTTTGTGTTTTTATGGGACCCCATTCTGATTTACATATTCCCACAATATAGCAGTTAAGCTATTTCTTCCTTAGGCGGTGTGTCATTTCTTGCAGTGTCTTCACTTACTCTTCCATCAAACACTTGGCTGTCTTCGATGTGTTAGGCACTGTTCAGAGACCAGGGCTCTAACAATGGGACCAGAGAAACACAACCTTTGGCCTCATGGACTTCTTATGCTTACTGTTCCTCTAAGAGTGGGGTGCTTGGTTAACGTGGTATTCTTTTAAAATCATGGCATCTTTATGGACTGAATGTTATTTAAGGTTTTTTTTCATGAACTATTTTAAAAACCTAAACCACATGCTCCCTGTTTTTAAACAATATCTATTTTATTCCAGATGTAGTGATTATTATTGCAGTCCGTTTTTATTATTCGTAAGGTTTTCTTGTAATATTTTAATTAAGCTCTTCAAGCCTTCCTCTTCCACAATGACTATATCCGCTTTGACTGTGTTGATGCATTATGAGATTAGGATGAGTAGAAGAAGGTGCATAGGGTCAAGGGAGGAGGCAATGCGTCGTGTCCTGTTCCCAAGCCCATTGTCAGCTGCTTTTTGCAGGAGAAGGTTACTTTACTCCCTTTCACTTCCCCACAGCCCACCTTTACCCTTTGTCTTATATAGAAAGAAAGCAGTAAAGTAATTTTATATGTTAATATCCTGGAAATATATTTTCAACAACAGGGGAACATTTAAATAAATTATACTTTAGTTACAGGAAATGCTGTCTTGAAAGTGTTAAGTAGGAAAATAACATATCAAAGTATAGGTAATAATAACAAAAAATGTTAAAAATATATAACTATAATAATACCAAAAATAATACGGCAATAGAATAAGAGCTAATATTTTTTATTATTTGTTAAATTTTTATTTAAATTCCATTTTTGTTAACATATACTGTATTATTAGTTTCAGGGGTAGAATTTAGTGACTCATCAGTTGTATATAACACCCAGTACTCACCACATCAACTGCCCTCCTTAATACCCATCACCCAGTTACCCCATCCCCCTACCCATCTCCCCGCCAGCAATCCTCATCTGTTTTAAAGAAGGGAAAATAATATAAAGCTGTATTGGCATAAAAATATCTGGAACCCTCAGTTTGTTTCCTAGAGTTAGGAGCCTCTTATGGTTTGCCGCCTTCTGTTTTCATCTTATTTTTCTTTCACTTTCCCTGTGTTCGTCTGTTTTGTTTCTTAAGTTACACATATGAGTGAAATCATATGGTATCTTTTTCTGACTGACTTACTTCGCTTAGCATAATACCCTCTAGTTCCATCCACATCGTTGCCAATGGCAAGAGAATAATGGCTAATATTTTTTAAACAATCACTATGTCGTGAACATGTTCTAAATGCTTTACACTTAACTCCTCTACTTACCTCATTTAAACCCTGTAACAACCTTATCAATTGGCAAATACTATCCAATTTTTGCACGTAAACATAAAAATGAAGCCCTGAGAGTTTAGGCAACATTGCTAGGTTCAGTAAAAAGATACTTGAATTCTAGTGGGGCAACAACCTGTGTGTTATAAGAAGAGACTACGGGTATGCTATGGGGATGGACGGGAGAGGCACCAGGTGCGAAATCAGGGATGATTCCAAATGGAAGGAACACATAAACAGCTGTAAAGGAAGAGTTGACTAGTTTTCCAGGTTAACAGGCAGATGGGAAAAACATAAAATTTGTACTTGAAAGAGTTGGTCTCGAAATGTGACTGCTACTCACCAATTATGTGACTTTAAACAAGTAACTTCATTCCTTCATCTGAACAAGAGAAGTGATATCTACCATTTCTCTATGGCTTATCACATAAAATAGTATTGAAAGCTCTTTTTCATTGTTAGATGCTATTTAATTATTGAAAATACTTTAAGTATGTGACTTTCAGTTTTGTTTTGCCTTGCTTAGGTGGATGTAATTGTGACCTTGGGAGGTCTTGGTGGGCGTTTTGACCAGATTATGGCATCTGTGAGCACCCTGTTCCAAGCTACGTGCATCACTCCTGTGCCAGTTATAATAATCCAAGAGGAATCTCTCATCTACCTGCTTCAGCCAGTAAGTGAAGAATAAATATAATGTCAGCACTTTGCTTCCACAGAACTTTTAACATTTGAGTAGACTTGCAGAAAACATGAGCCTACTGTGTGTCTTCGAAGTTGACACATGAGTGAAATTGACCATGTTTACCTACTTGTGTTTACCCTGGTCTACTGCCTCAGAGCATGGAACAGCAAAAATGTACAGGAGACGCCTCAAAGTTTTCATTTTGCTTGTAACTTTTAATTAAATTGATTAAGAATTAAATTTAACACTTTTGCATTTTGAACAGCTGAATGTGAATGCCACTTGAGAAAAATCTCAACAGAGGAAACACAAAGCTTGGCAAATATTTCAAATGGAATTCTCATATATTTTCAGTGTTGTCATTATAATTGGAAACTGGATTTGATTTTGTTAAGCACTGAAAAGAAAATCTTTAGCTTTTACTCTTCATAAGTTGCCTGCTTATTAATTTCACTGCCTCGGAATAAATTCTAATGATTATATCATTCACTTCCCATGATGAATATCGAGGAAATTTTCTATCAACATAGTACTTAGAACAGAATTCTTATTAAATAAGTTTTATAAGGTTGATCAGTGAGTTCCTCTACAAAAATAATCATTTGGTAACATTTTTAAAAGATAGTGGACAATTGTTCTTTTTTGCCTCTCATTGTAATGTACTGCTTACAGCATTGCTTCTGCCCATCTGCTATCCACCATCTGTAGCATGTCATTACCTAAAAATTGTTGTTTGGTTAATATAGGTACAATGCATGCTCCCTGTTGTTCAGCCAGCTTTGCATTTTTTTTTTCCTGGCTCTTTGCATTGCCTAGCTTTGTTGTTTTCTGGAACACTTCCTATGAGATGTGAAAAGGGAGCTGAAGAATTCCGTTTTCAAACTCAATAATGTCCATTTATTTAGTCAACAACCATTATGGAGTGTCTGCTATTTATTCCACTGCTAGGCAGTTGAGGACTAAGAGAACTAGTTATGTGAGCTTTGCTCTCTAGCGAAGAAGTCATTTATAAAAACATAAACGTAAAGCACCGTTAAAAGATTGGTACATAAATGAGATGAAAGATATGATTTGGTCATAAGTATAGTAAGGAAAGTCCACTCAGAGGCACTCACATTTTATTCACTCAGTTAATTCAACAAATATTTATCGGTTACCTGCCATACACACCAGGCATTTACTTACCCAGGTATTTGGCAGCCAACTAAAGAGACAAAATCCCTGGTTTTCATTCTCTTGAGGCTACATTGGAGCAGGACCTTCAAGGGTGAGTGGATGTTGGCTGTGGGAGATGGGGAGGAAGCCACACAAGGTGGAAGGAGCCACTAAAGAAAGGTACTAGCGTAGGGCATGTCTTCGGATCTGCAGTTTGGAAAATGCCAGGAAGATAAGACTAGAAAACTACTTAGATCATGAAGAGCCTTGAATTCTGCACTGTGGAGTATGGATGTTTTTGCCGTAGGTAATGGGAAGTCATTAAAATATTTCACTTAGTGATATGACATGAGCAGCTATGCTTCTTAGATTTCTAATTATGTGTTTGTTAAATACCTGTTAATCTCCTAACAATTTCTGAAGCGTGAAACTTTCTACTATTATAAATCATTGAGCTTTATTATATAATATTGAGCTGATAGTGTGATTGCTAAAGTAGTCACCTGTAACTTGACTGTAGGTACATATTCTAGTTAATAGATTACTAGTTGAAGCTGTAGTACAATAATTTTTAAAAAGTAAAAAAGGGAAGGTTAACTGATAGAAAAAGCCATGTCTGAAAAAATGACTTTTGCCCTTAAGAATTGTTCAGTGTGTTTGGTGTTCTGTACTATCGTTGTAATGTGCATAATTGTGGACTTCCTAAGATGCCTTCAGCCAGGGATTCACTGGATTTCCTCCATCTACAGGTTGCTGTCTGTCGTCCGTTTGGAAAACTCAGCCATTAGTTTTTCAAATATTGTCTCAGTACCAATCTTCTCTCTTCCTTGGCGACTCCAATTAACTGTAATTAAGATTCTCGTTGTATCATGTGTATCTCAAAACTTCTCTTTCACATTTTGTATGCTTTAACCTCCCCGGGCTGCATTCTGAAGCTCATCACCTGTATTCTGTACCACTCTTCTGCTTTAGCCATGTCTATTTTGCTGCTAAAACCATCCACAGAGTTTTAAATTCCTGCCGTGATTCTTCTTTCTTATATGCTTGTCCTCTACTCACTTTTTCAAGACCCTTTCTTTAAAACATAATTGTCATACTTTATTGTCGAGAGTAATTCTAATACCTGTGGTCTTTATAAGTCCACTGTCTTGTATTCACTTTCACTTTTATATTTTGTAACCTTGATTCCTTCTGTGTGTTATGATTTTTGGCCATGACCTTATATTTCTGGGAACTTCACCTGTGAGAATTATTTGAAGTGTGAGTTAAAAGTGAGTCCATGGAGAATTTAGAGCAGACTCCTAGCCCAGTTATTTGTAGCCATTAACAACCTAGGACATCTATGGAGACTTTTTGACCATCTAGGTGTTGTGAATTCTAGCAGTTCTGCTAGGTTACAGGTGCTCAGGGGAGACTTGCCCCCTCTTCTCAGCTACAGAGTACCAGGGCTTGGTTGGGCAGTTTTCCTAGTGGTCCAGTGGAGTGTTATTTATATTCATTTACACTGAAAGTCTCTGCTTTATATGGTGCAGTCTCCTTTTACACTCCCAGCATTGGCAGGCCTTGGGCCTTGTCTCCTGATGACCTTCCATACTTGGATGCCTTGGAAATCAAAGCTCAAGTTCATCTGCTTTGGTAAACACCAAATATTTCAAAGGTGAAAGTTAGATTTGGTTTTCTTTTTCAGTCAGACCTTAGTTTTTGGCTTCTGAGTATCCTTAAAAAAACAAAAACAGATGTTTGATGCCTTTAAAAAGATTTCTTTAACTTTTTTCTAGCACTTTTTATTGTTTTAAGTTGGTCAGGGTACTAATTTGTCACACTGCCTCTGTAAGTCTGGTCTTACTCTGCCTATGTTACAGGAGTAATTAACCCCCAATCTCAGAGGCTTATCTGAGATTAGGTTTTTGAGGTTTTTTTCTCATCAGTGGAATATCTGGTCTGGTTTGGGCGGCATCCTCCATTTTATATCTAAGCCAACTGGAAGAAATTGTGGAATCTGGGGAAAAGATAGCCAGAAAGTGGCACTGCATGTTTTTAAAGGCCAGGCCTGGCTGTGTCCTCTATCACCTTTGGTGGGAACACAGTGACATTCCCCAGCGCACTGCAAGGCAGTCTAGGAAAAGAAGGCTGTGGCCTTGAAGCAGGGAGAGGAACCACTGTGTGAGCACAGAACACTGTCTCTCTCAAACTGCCAGAAACTGAAGTTTGGAAAGAAAGTCTGGAATCATGACCCTACATAATTTCTAGGAGCATACTTTTTTTCCCATTTATAAAGTATGTTAAACTTAGTTGTTAAAACAGAATCCTCAGTTCTCCCAACATAGTTGTCATATCGTGTCATAGGCTACATGCTCCAAAACAATGCCTTCTGGATTCTTTGGTATTGTGATTTTGTCTCATTGAAATAACTAGGAAATTACCTATCCTAAGAAAGTAATGATTACATAGTGTGGGGCAGAAACCTGCACAGTCACACCCTCTGTCATGTAGAGGGGTGACAGTATTTAGCATAGACCTCTACCTGCGGGGTTAACAGTGATGGCTTTGCTTCTCTTTGGCACTTGTTCTAGAGAAATCTTCCCAGAGTGTGCTCTTCCTCTCTCTCTCTCGTCAAATAAATAAAATCTCCCCAGAAACACATACTAGGTCCCTGCTTTTCAGTTGCTTTTAGTAAGAGAACACTAAGACAATTATTGGTATAAATGCAAAAGTCAAAATGAGTATGTTTGAGGGTTTAGGATATGAACCAATCTTATATAGTGTGCCATATTTTTAACAGTTTTAATTATGCACTTATGAAATGTGATTAACACCAAAACTTAATCAAAAGCTATACTAAAATTAGTTCATAGAACCATTCTACATTCTAAAATTAGACTCAGATCATTGAGCTGAACTGACTTTGTCATGTGTGTTTTGATGTTATCCATGTACGAGAGCATACATCTCTATTAGGCAGTGTGCATGTTTTGGGAGGATACTCGGTGTCTATAGTTGCTGTTCATTGTTTATAGGACTGATCATAATCACAATCAAAATGGACAGAAAAAACCTCATAACTTTAAATTGAAACCATTTTCACATATTGTGGAACTAGGGCCCAAGAAAATCAATCTGGTATGCTTCAGTGCCAAATAAAGAATGGTTTGAAACTTTTTAAATGTATTTTTAATTGAAAGTCAACAAATAGCTGTTCTCAGAAAGGAAGATAATTTTGGAACTTTTACAAGAAGGGTCTAATTTGAGCTTCATAACAGTACTGTGAGGAAAGCAGGACAGGTGCGTCGGTCACACAGCGAAGTGTTTTGACCTAACACTTTCCACTACACTACATTTCCTCTTTCTTAGGGCTAGTGGATTAACGTGCAAATAGCGAACTCTTAGAACAAGTTACAGTTCATAGGCTGGTGATTATCCATAAACAATGTTTAACTGAGGGGCCAGTTGGTGTGTGTGTGTGTAATTATTCTTCACAACATTTTCAAATAAGATGAATTTGGGGTACACTTTAAAGGTATATCCCACCTCGTTGCTCCCCTAAACTAAACAAAAATGACTCGAATTTCCCTCAAGTATAACAAAATCTACATACATCAAGAATTTTTATCATTGAAGAAGATTGAGTGAGATTACCTTTGAGCTTTGCTAAAAATACTTCAAAAGTGGTGAAACTCAATGTAAATGCTAATTATTATGAGTATTATTTTTGAGAACAGTGTTTTCTAGAATTGGTTCTGTAATTATAGATTGTCTGAAATTGAAGATAATAGCAGGAGGATGAGACATGTTATGGGAACTGTTGGTTTGACTGATGAAATGTTTTGGTGCTGTGC